AGAGGGGAGGGGAGGGGAGGGGAGAGGAGAGGAAAGGAGGAAGAGAAAGAGGGGAGGGGAGAGGAGGAAGAGGGGAGGGGAGCGAAAAGGAGGAAGAGGGGAGGAAAGGGGAGGGGAGAGAAGAGGAAGAGGAAGAGGGGAGGGGAGAGGAAAGGAAAGGAGGAAAAGAAAGAGGGGAGGGGAGAGGAGGAAGAAGGGAGGGGAGAGAAAAGGAGGAAGAGGGGAGGAAAGGGGAGAGGAGAGGAGGAAGAGAAAGAGGGGAGGGGAGAGAAAAGGAGGAAGAGGGAAGGGGAGAGGAGGAAGAGAAAGAGGGGAGGGGAGGGAAGAGGAGAAATGAAGAAGAGGAAGAGAGGAAAGGGGAAAATGAGAAGAAGGAAAAAAAAAAGGTCTTTGCTGTCAGTTCCCAGAAAAGTGAGCAACAGGCAGATGTTTTGAGCGACCGATCCAGACCTTACAGAGAACCCCCATGCCTGTGACCTGCACCTAACAGCCAGTTTCCTGGTTCATAAAATATTTTCAAAGCTGGTGCTATCTGAAAGCGTCTTCGGATTATCAGAATCAGGGACCAAAAACTAAGAAACCAATACAGGTAGTCCTGGGCTTAAAAGCAAAACTGAGCCCAGATTTTGGTCATAAGTCAAGTTGCCATGTAACCAACCAGACTCTTATTTTATAATCGTTAAGCAAATCGTGTGGCCATTAAGGGAATCGGATGATCTTAAGTCTCAATCCACTCTGGGTTTTTTTTTGCCAGAAAACAACAAAAAAAGTCGCAAAACATGATCACAGGATGCTCACTGATCATAAAGGCAAATTAGATGCCAAGTGCCTTAAATGCAATCACAAGGACCCCCAGGGATGCTACAGCAGTTGTGACTTTTCAGGGTGGTTTGTAAATAATTTTTTTCAAGTCCACCGTAACGTCGAGCAGTCATCAAGGGGGCTACCCGTAGTGGCGAGATTGCGATATGCAGGTCGTCTCAAATTACGACCGCTAGCGAGCCCCAGATTTCTGTCACTAAGCGAGGCGTTCGTTAAATGAGCTTTGCCCCATTTTATGATCTTTCTGGCCACAGTTGTTAAGTGAATCACTGAGGCTGCTAAGTTACTACCAAGGTTGTTACGTGAATCTGGCTTCCCCATTGACTTTTCAGTGTCAGAAGGTCGCAAAAGGGGATCACAGGACCCCCCCGGGACGCTGCGACCGTCGTAAATATGAACCAGTTGCGCCAAGCACCCAAATTTCGATCACGTGACCGTGGGGATACTGCAATGGTTGTTAAGTGTGAAAAACGGTCGCAATAAGTCCCTTTTCCCCGTGCTGTTAACTTCAAACGGTCACTAAACGAACGATTGTTAAGTCGAGGACTGTCTGTACAGTCTTGAAAAGGATGGATTTTTGTCACATCCTTCGGGCAGAACAGCAGGTGAGCCTCCCCCCTCCCCTTGCCTGCAACGCTCCATAACGGAGGTGAGGTGGCAAACTCCACCTCCAGGGTACACAAAAATTGTTCTCAGATCTTCGAGAGGCCCTCCTCAAAACAGGCCGATTGTCTTGTCACTCACAATCCGGTCGTTGATGACTGTGGTGAGGGCCGTCTGCTCCCCTCGTAAGCAGTAAAGGTTGAGCGCCAAGCACTCAAAGAGACCCTGGTTGCACAGCTCCAGCAGCCGGTATCCAAAGGTGTGATCTAGAAGAAAAAGTTGCACACGTGAGCAAGGCCAGTTAGCGGGGGTTTTTTTCCCCCGGAAAGCTTCCTCCAACGCTGCCGTCACCTTCTTACCGGTGCAGTGCAAGATATGCGTGGCGATTCGGTTGAACTGCTCCTGCAGGAACTCCAGATTGGTGCGGGTAATGTCAACTCCATCTTGGACTTGGACAGAGGCCTGTGAGGGGGGGGGGACCCAAAAAAAACACCAGGTAACAGACCCAAAAGGAAATCTGGATTATTGCCCTGAAATAGGAGTGAAAGTCCCCTGGGCTGCAAGGCGATCAAACCGGTCAGTCCTAGAGGAGATCAACCCTGACTGCTCCTTAGAACAGGGCTTTTCAACCAGTGGTACGGGTACCACCTGTGGTACATTGGCACCTGGCAGGTGGTACGCGACCATCCTAGAAAAGTGGTAGTGGGGGAGGGGAATGAGCTGAACCGGTGGCAGCACCGCACAAGCCTGAGCGAGAGACGGCTGGAGCTGCAGGGCTGTCAGGGCTCAGCGGAAGAGCCAGGATCAGTGCCGTTTTCCAGCTGATCGGCGCTTCTTCGGGACTGTCAGGGCTCAGTGGAAGCACCAGGACCAGCGCCAGGATCCAGCTGGAGCTCGTTGCTGATCCTGGTGCTTCTGCTGAGCCCAGAAGAAGCGCCGATCAGCTGGAATGTTGCAACATCTCCAGGGTCTTGTGATTTACATTCAGATGCTTGGCAACTGATTCATATTTATGACGGTCACAGTGTCCCAGGGTCATGTGAAGTGACCAAAACCTGCTGCAACCACCCAGCAGACGGGGGGAATAAAAACCAAACACCTCCACCCCACCCTGCTGCCAATCCTCAACAGAAATGCTCACAACAATGAAACAGGAGGAAGAGCGCCGCCGGGTGGGCAGGCAGGTGTCTTGCTCGGCTGTGGCTTGGGGGGCACTTTTTTCAGTGCCATTGTTAACTTCGAATAGTCACTAAGCGAACTGTTGTAAGTCGAGGACTACCTGTACTTTATTACTATTTTCCTTTTTTTGGGGTCATCACGTTTTTGACACCTTGCTAGGCGACTGGTGGTACTCGGATGTTGCCATATCCTAAAAGTGGCACAATGGGTGAAAAGGTTGAAAAGCCCTGCCTTAGAAGGCCAGATCCTGAAGTTGAAACTCAAGTACTTTGGCCACCTAATGAGAAGGAAGGACTCACTGGAGAAGAGCCTAATGGTGGGAAAGATTGAGGGCAATAGAAGAAGGGGACGACAGAGAATGAGGTGGCTGGATGGAGTCACTGAAGCAGAAGGCGTGAGCTTAAACGGACTCCAGAAGATGGTAGAGGATAGGAAGACCTGGAGGAACGTCGTCCATGAGGTCGCGATGGGTCGAACACGACTTCGCAACTAACAACAACACATCCAGAGTATTATGATTGCTGTTTGGGACCTCACAAAAACATAGCACGCCTGGAAAATTAGGGCAAGTTTAATTTGTAGGGAATTTCCAACCCACTGCTTTTCAGAGCTGGCCAGATGCACAGAATAAGTGGGGGTGGGGGTGGTGTGGGGGTGCATTGAATAGCACTATTTTCTTTTACAAATGAAAAAAAAAATCCAACTTCCCTTGGGAGCAGAACGTCTGCCTTTCAAAGAATAAAGGAACGAGCATACGGGTCTGGACGCTGGCTGAGGAATTCTGGGAGTTGAAGTCCACAAGTCATAAAAGGGCCAAGTTTGAAGACCCCCGTTATAGGTAGTTGTCCCAAAGATGCTTTTTTTCATGAGGCAACTGGACTTCCTTGTTTTTTCTTTGAAGATGTTTCGCTTCTCATCCAAGAAGCTTCTTGGGCTCTGACTGGATGGTGGGAAGTGGAAGGATTCATAGTCCTTGCAGACAGCTGGTCATTTGCCTCCTTCTAGGGAGTCGTTGAGGCCACCTGGAGGTTTGTCTGTGTCCTCAGGGTCACCTGAGTGGTGCAAACTTTCAGCAGTTCCAAGAAGGCTCCACACCCATTTGCACTACTCAGGTGACCTTGAACAGGGCTTTTCAACCTTTTCACCCATTGTACCACTTTTAGAATATGGCAACATCTGAGTACCACCAGTCACCTAGCAAGGTATCAAAAACTTGATGACACCCCCCCAAAAAAGGAAAAAAGTGATAAAGTAGAGGTAGTCCTCGACTTATAACAGTTCGCTTAGTGACTGTTCAAAGTTACAATGGCACTGAAAAAAGAGCCCCCCCAAACCACAGGCGAGCAAGACACCTGCCTGCCCACCCGGCCGTCCTCTTCCTCCTGTCCGAGGTTTTCATTGTTGTGAGCATTTCTGTTGAGGATTGGCAGGGTGGGGTGAGGTGGGGTGGGGTGGTGTTTGGTTTTTATTCCCCTCGTCTGCTGGGTGGTTGCAGCAGGTTTTGGTCACTTCACATGACGCTGGGACATTGTGACCGTCATAAATATGAATCAGTTGCCAAGCATCTGAATGTAAATCACAAGACCCTGGAGATGCTGCAACATTCCAGCTGATTGGCGCTTCTTCTGGGCTCAGCAGAAGCACCAGATCAGCGCCGCTTTCCAGCTGATTCTTCAGGGCTCAGCAGAAGCACCAGGATCAGCATCAAGCTGCAGCTAGATCCTGGCGCTGATCCTGGCGCTTCCACTGAGCCCTGACAATCCCGAAGAATCGCTGATCCTGGCGCTTCCGCTGAGCCCTGACAGCCCTGCAGCTCCAGCCGTCTCTCGCTCAGGCTTGTGCGGTGCTGCCACCGGTTCAGCTCATTCCCCTCCCCTGCTACCACTTTTCTAGGATGGTTGCATACCACCTACCAGGTGCCAATGTACCACAGGTGGTACCCGTACCACTGGTTGAAAAGCCTTGACCTTGAGGATAGAGATAAATCTCCAAGTGGCCTCAGCGACTCTCAAAAAGGATGTAAATGACCAGCTGTCTGCAAGGAGTATAAATCCTTCCATTCTCCCACCATCCAGTCAGAGCTGAAGGATGAGAAGTGAAATGTCTTCAAAGGGAAAAAAAAACCAAGGAAGTCCAGTTGTCTCTTGAAAAAGCACCTTTCGTACAACAATGACCTGGATGACTGAGAATCTCCACAGACTTTATAAGTAGTCCTTGACATACAACCGTAATGGAACCTGCCCCTTATGGTCGCATGTCTGGCTGGTCACATGTCCAACCCAATTTTACAACCTTTTTGTGGCAGTTAAATGAATCACCAGTCTTCAGTCAATCTGTCACCAAACACGTAGCATGTGTCATGTGTCTGACTAATGAAACACTTCAAAGAACTTTCAGGCATTGTTTAATCTAAAAAGCCTTTATTAGTGTAAAAGGAGTGTCAGCACGGCACGGTGGATGCCAAGATCTGAATTTCCCTTCCCTTTGCACATAACATTCCAGGCATTTCCCCTCCCCTATTTTGGGGTCATGATTCACATCTTCCAATTAACCTGGAGGGCAAAGATTCCCTTCCGTTCCCTTCCGAGGGCTTTTCTCTCCTTTCTCATTCTCATCTGAATTAACTCTAAAAGTACCAGACAGTTCTGCATATTTTGTCAAAGCAAGGATATTCAATATTAGCAGCGTTGACAGCACGGTTGTCAAATGACCCAACGGTTTGTTATTGACACGGTTTTGCTAAAAACGGGAAGTTCCAGTGTCCAGCAAAACCACTGTAAGGGACAGAGTCGCGTAATGGGGGACGCTGCAAATGGCTGTAAATGTCGCCGAGGGTCCGAAGTTCAATCAGGCGACTACAGAGAGGGCCCGGCTGCCAGAACTCTGAATCTGGGTCATAGGTTCCTTTTTCAGCTCAGTCATAACTATGAACGGTGACTTAGTGACCGGTTCTACGTCAAGCATTCTATGTACATGCAAAAGGTGATGGTTCTACATCCAAAGATGTCCCAGCGGTCCCAGAGGTCAAAGACGGAGCTCTGGAGCGGCCTGCATCCATCTAAACCGGATGTGGGGTATTTTACGGCCCACGGGCAGTGGCCTGCAGCAGTGGCAAGAAGGGGCGGAGCAACGGCAGTGTCAGGGGCGGGGCAGTGGCAGCGTCAGGGGCGAGGCGGCAGTGCCAGGGGGCGGAGCAACAGCAGTCCCAGTTTTCTCATGTGGCCCCTTGGGAAAAATTAATGGCCCACCCCTGATTTAAAGCCACTGGCCTCACAGTTTAAAGACTGATGTTATATTATGCTGGGTTTTGTTCGCGTGCAACTGACAAGCTGGATGCCAAATTCTGATTTTAACATGCATTTTATTTGTTATTTATTATTTTATTCTAGAATTTTTAAATGGACATTCCCTGAGTGCTTCTACCTTGCTTCTGCTCTTTGAACTGTAATAAACACTGACTTGGCTCGACCGAACCCACTGACGCCATCATCTCCACGAGCTGAGGGCCCAGTTGCGGTTCCCATTCGCCAGCCCAAACCACCCAGCTCCATCAAAGCAGAGAAAGGAAAGTGGACTCAAAACTTACAAAACTCTCCCGGACATATTCCTCCAAGCCATTAATCAAATTGTACGTGGCCATCTGAAAGAACCCAAAGAGAAGGCCGTTATTAGCCTGTGAAGGCAAAGAGCAGCAGGAGGGGGAAGAAAAAAAAAACCTGTGGAGAAAGAACGTCCAGGTCAGGAGAGGCTCATCTCACCCGGACGTTGCGGTCGGTGGGCTCCTGGCCGTGCAGGTACTCTTCCCGGAAAAAGTGGCTGAGCTGGGGCTGAATCCGCTGCAGGGGCTGGAACTGGCCGTGAAGCAGCATCACCATGTCAACCATGGAGAAGTTCTGGCAGATCAAAGACAGCAGGTCTCCAAAGAAGCCTGTAAAAAAGATGTTGAGACTTTAGAAAGAGTACAGAGAAGAGCAACAAAGATGATTAGGGGACTGGAGGCTAAAGCATATAAGGAACGGCTGCTGGAATTGGGTATGTCTAGTTTAACGAAGAGAAAGACAAGGGGGGACATGATAGCAGTGTTCCAATATCTCAGGGGCTGCCACAAAGAAGAGGGAGTCAAGCTATTCTCCAAAGCGCCTGAAGGCAGGACGAGAAGCAATGGATGGAAACTAATCAAGGAGAGAAGCAACCTAGAACTAAGGAGAAACTTCCTGACAGTCACAACAATTAACCAGTGGAACAACCTGCCTCCAGAAGCGGTGAATGCGCCAACACTGGAAGTTTTTAAGAAGAGACTGGACAGCCATTTGTCTGAAATGGTATAGGGTTTCCTGCCTGAGCAGGGGGGTTGGACTAGATGACCTCCAAGGTCCCTTCCAACTTTACTACTACTACTACTACTACTACTACTACTACTACTATTATTATTATTATTATTATTATTATTATTATTATTATTATTATTATTATTATTAAAGACAGACAGGAGCAAAAAATAAACAGGGGTGTCACCGGTCCCTCAAAGTCCTGGTCCAGACCAGCGGGACCAATACCGCTTTATAAATCCTTAGTAAGACCACACCTGGAGTCCTACATCCAGTTTACATTACAAAAAAAAGATGTTGAGACTTTGGGAAAAGTGCAAAGAAAAGCAACGAAGAAGATTAAAGGCCCGGAGACGAAAACATAGGAAGAACGGCTGCAGGGACTGGGTTTGACTAGTCTAGAGGAAAAAAGGGCTAGTGGGGACGTGACAGTAGTATTCCAGTGTTTGGGGGGATTGCCACAAAGAAGAGGGGGTTGACTTGTTTTCCAAAGCACCAGAAGGCGAGACAAGAAACAATGGAACACCAGGAACAGTTAGAATTGGATTCCTGACCCAGAGAAAATGTGGGGACACACACACACACACACACACACACATGCCCCCCCTCCCTTGGCTCAATCAGAGAATCTGGTCCCTCCCCAGGGTGAAGGAATAGGAAAGCTTTGGGTGAAGCAGAGAAGCTAAAAAAAGTCTGCAGGGGAAAAAAACAATCTTACGCTGCGGGACGCTCGGAGTCACCAACACACACTGGAGACCCATTAAGGGGGGGAAAAAACCCTGAGATTTACTTGTGTGTATGATGTGTAGATGTATCTCTTGATACACGTACCTTACACACGGGCGAGGTTGTATAAAAGTCTTTTTCGTGTAAAGAAATGATAGAAGTTATATTGCACTGATTTTGAGCATTTGGGGAAAGGGCACTTTTTTTCCTCTTCCTTTCTCTGGAAGCCACAAAGAGATAGGGTGTGGGGAGACCCTTAGCCTCCCTCCCCCTTGGGCAGCCTGGCCAGAATTTGGGCATCTCAAGATAGGGCGGGGGGGCACTTATTTCCCTGGGCGAGAGAGGGTTACCCACTCACTCCTGCCCAGGACCAGACTAAGTTTTGCTTTCCGGCATCCAGATGGGGGAAGGGGAGTTTTAAGGAGACCGAACGAGAATGCTGGTTTATAAATGTAATCTTGCAAAAAAAGAACAACCTGCAGTCTAACCCTGAGGATTAATTTTTTTTAAAAAAGAAAGAAACCATGGATGGAAACTAACCAAGGAGAGAAGCAACCTGGAATTAAAGAGAAACTTCTTAACAGTGAGAACAATTAACCAGTGGAACGGCATCCCTTCAGAAGTTGTGGGTGCTCCATCGTTGCAGGTTTTTAAGAAGAGACTGGACAGTCACTTGTCTGAAAAGATATAGGGTTGGACTAGAAGACCTCCCAGGTCCCTTCCAGCTCTATTCTGACTGATTAATCGACCGCTGGAAGATTTAACAGCAGGAGCACAGAGAACGTGACTGGGCAAAGAAAGGAAGGACCCAAGGGGAGAGGAGAGTCTATGGAAGACAGGACTATTTTTAATTCCATCTCAGCCCCAGATAAGATGCTGGTGGGTGAAAATTTAACCCTAAACATTAGCTCCTCAACTGCAATACAAAAGATGCCTGCATGGGAGGGCTAGAACGGCAGCAAGCCAAATATTCTGGATATTCAAAAGCAAAACATTTCTTCCTTTTTCTTGTTTTGACTACTCAACACGGTTTTGAGATTGAGGCCACGAGGAGAAAAGAAAATAAAGGAAGACACCGGGCCCCATAATCAAAGAACGGCCTTGCATTTAAGCACAAGCGGCAAATTAAATCAAATCAACCTTTATTACGGAGGAAAAAAACAGCATAGGGCAGGGGTAGGCAACCTTGGCTCTTTTTATGACTCGTGGACTTCAACTCCCAGAATTCCTGAGCCAGCCATGCTGAGGGGAAAGGGAGAGGTTTCCAAGCTGAGCCATGCCGGCTCAGGAATTCTGGGAGTTGAAGTCCACGAGTCATAAAAGAGCCAAGGTTACTTACCCCTGGCATAGGGAGAGTGTAAAAGCAGGGGGAAAAAATACAAAGAAAAATTTGCCATGCTTTTTTATGTCCACTTATTGTTTTTTATTCTTCTTTTCTTTAGAATTTGTAGATTATTTTAGCTTTTTAGGTCATTTTATTTTTGTATTTTTTTCCCCCTGCTTTTACAATTCTTTGCACCCAACCTCCTTAGGCTGGCCTTTGACTATAATAAAAGATTGGTTTGATTTAAGCACAAGTGGCAACTGGGCCACCCCAAATAAATCAGCCTGTTTTCCCTTTGTCGGAATAAAATCACAGACTCCCGAAGAAAGGAAAAAAAAGGACCCGAATTGAGAAATCTGCCTCTCTTACATCACAAGCCTCTCTTTTAAAATTCTTCAATGAAAGACCCATTAAGACAGTGGTTCTCAACCTTTTTAATGCCGCGACCCCAACCGGTCGTAAATCGAGGACTAAACCGGTCGTAAGTCGAGGACTAAACCGGTCGTAAGTCGAGGACTAAACTGGTCGTAAGTCAAGGACTACCCAACCGGTCGTAAGTCGAGGACTTTCCCTGCCCGGGAGCGCCGCGCATGCATGGTTCCGCCCCCTGCGCCGGCCGAGGTGTAGCTGGCAAGCGGCAGAGACGGAGCAGGCCGACCACCAGCTGGCCCAGCCCAAGGGAGGTAAGGCGCCCGCCGGAAAAGGGGGGAAAAATGGCGGACAAAAAAAATGGCGGACAGCCTTGCTTGGCGACCCCCATGAAATGGTCGATCGACCCCAAATGGGGTCCCGACCCACAGGTTGAGAACCACTGCATTAAGATCCGAGGAATCAAGAAGGCAAAGTATCGCAGAACTCAAATGTTTGACCGTCGGGACCAGAAATCAGTTTTATCCCACTTCAATTGCTCCACACTGCCGGAGCAGCCGCCTGCACGCCTTACCCAGCGCGCCCTCCGTGCCCGGTTCAAAGATGTTGCTGGTGCCGCTGAGGCGCTGGATGAAGTCAGCGATGCTCTCCGTGCTACCCTGCTGGGCACTGAGGGAACCCATCATGGAGGACAGCACCCCCTGGACCACGCTGGTGAAGAACTCGGGAGGCAATGCGTCCGCCGAAGCGCCTCCACGACCGCCAGGGCCGCCGCTGCCCAGGCCAGCCGAGAACGCTTCCGGTCCTCCTTGGGGGGCCGAGGGAGGAGGAGGAGGAGGAGGAGGAGGCGAAGGAGAGGCTGCTGGCTGTGGAGGAGGCGCCATCTGCTCGGGAGGGTGTGGGGGGCCTCCCCCCATTTGCGTCGCCTGGGAGAAAAGGAGGAAAGAGAGAGGGATGCTTGGAAAGAGCGGCAGGAATTTTGGAAGGCCTGAAGGTCCACAGCTTTTTTCAGTTCAAAAGAGAGGACAGACCGAACGAGTAAGGAGTCCTGACAGCACAGAGAATTTGACACTAAGATTTCTAAGGATAGGATACCCAATGAAGGGATTTCTCTCACGAAGCTGGATTCAGTCCTAGCGTCTTCAGATCAATAATGATTTGAAGACAGAAAAGTGGAACCAACAAGACCCCGCCTCCCCCCTCCAAAAAAGCCAGATTTGGGATGCCAAATGCAGATGCTTTGTAGCTTAGTGCTGGCTCAGGGATTCTGTTCTGGCTTGGGGTTGATCTAACAAGCCAGATGGGCTGCTGTCAATCAGATGCTCCTTGTTGAAATGCTCCCTTCTCTAAATTAAAACAAGGAGAGGCAACTATTTGGGAGAGAAGAAGAAAGAGAGAGAGAGAACAAATGAAGGGAAAAAGAGACAGAGAGAAGGAGAGAGATTGAGAAAGAGAGAAAAAAAGAGGAGAGAATGAAAGAGAGGAGAAAGAGAAAAAAGAGGAGAGAGAGAAATGGGAAGAGGAGAGAGGAGAGGAAGAGGAGGAAGAGGGGAGGGGAGAGGGGAGGAGAAAGGAGGAAGAGGAGAAACGGAGAAGAGGAAGAGAGGAAAGGGGAAAAGGAGGTGGGAGGAGGAGGAGGAGGAGGAGGAGGAGGAGGAGGAGGAGGAGGAGGAGGAGGAGGAGGAGGAGGAGGAAGAAAGGTCTTTGCTATCATTTCCCAGAAAAGTGAGCAAAGCGGAGAGGAGAGGAGAGGACTCACCTGAAGGAAGTCTGTCATGCCTTGCAGAAAAGCGGGCACGCCGGGCATAGCCACAGTGATGGTGGGAGAGCCCACCCCTGCCACCCCCGCCATGCTGGAGCCTGCCGCCCCAAGGATGTTCCCCAGCAGTTGAGAGAACTGGAATTCGGTGGAGGCTGCGGGAGGCTGGCCTGAGGGCATGGGCCCTCCCGGGGCCCCAGCCGAGCTGCCCCCCGCAGCAGTCGTGGCCGTGTTGGTGGTGCCAGCGCTGGCTGAGGCTGTGGGAGGGGAGGCGGAGGTGCTGGTGCTGAAGGTGGCTTGGCCGCTGACGGAGGAAGAGGCCGAGGAGGAAGCCCCGCCCCCCTGAGCTGGAAAGGCAAAGACAGAGAGGGCTGCTGGATCAAGCAGGAGAGGCGGACGGCGCCCGGCCCACCCTCAAACCTTCCCACATCCCTCCCTTAGCTCCAGGGGACGTTGCTGTCAATTCCCTTCCCTTCTGGGGGGGGGGGGGAATCAATCACTAGGTCAGACCCAGACCCTGTAACCTCCTGCTCTTTTCTCCCAACCCTCAAATGTCCTCCATTCAGAGTAAATTTCTAGGTCAAGAAAATCCGCCCATTCTCGGGGTCTGACCCAGGTTAAGTCCTCGGCTTACGACAGTTCACTCAGTGCCCGTTCGAAGTATACGATGACACTGAAAAGTGACTTATGACAGTTTTTCACCCTTTTGACCCTGGTAGCATCCCCACGGGTCACGGGATCAAAATTCAGACGCTTGGCCACTGACGCATATTTATGACGGTTTTGCAGTGTCCCGGGGTCCACTTTTGTGACCTTCTGACGAGCAAAAGTCAACGGGGGAGGGAGCCAGATTCACTAAACCAGGGCTTTTCAACCAGTGGTACGGGTACCACCTGTGGTACATTGGCACCTGGCAGGTGGTACGCGACCATCCTAGAAAAGTGGTAGCGGGGGAGGGGAATGAGCTGAACCGGTGGCAGCACCGCACAAGCCTGAGCGAGAGATGGCTGGAGCTGCAGGGCTGTTAGGGCTCAGCGGAAGCGCCAGGATCAGTGCCAGTCTCCAGCTGATCGGCGCTTCTTCGGGGCTGTCAGGGCTCAGTGGAAGCACCAGGACCAGCGCCAGGATCCAGCTGGAGCTCAGCGCTGATCCTGGCGCTTCTGCTGAGCCCAGAAGAAGCACCAATCAGCTGGAATATTGCAGCATCTCCAGGGTCTTGTGATTTACATTCAGATGCTTGGCAACTGATTCATATTTATGACGGTCACAGTGTCCCAGAGTCATATGAAGTGACCAAAACCTGCTGCAACCACCCAGCAGACGGGGGGAATAAAAACCAAACACCCCCCACCCCACCCCCGCTGCCAATCCTCAACAGAAATGCTCACAACAATGAAAACCTCGGACAGGAGGAAGAGCGTCACCGGGCGGGCAGGCCGGTGTCTTGCTCGGCTGTGGCTTGAGGGGCACTTTTTCAGTGCCATTGTAACTTCAAAGAGTCACTAAGCGAACTGTTGTAAGTCGAGGACTACCTGTACTTTTATCACTTTTTTCCTTTGGGGGGGGGGTCATCCAAGTTTTTGACACCTTGCTAGGTGACTGGTGGTAACTCGGATGTTGCCATCTCCTAAAAGTGGTACAATGGGTGAAAAGGTTGAAAAGCCCTGCACTAAACGGCCGTGTTGCTAACTTAACAACTGCAGTGATTCGCTTAGCAACTGTGGCAAGAAAGGTCGCAAAATGGGGCAAAATCTGCTTGACAAATATTTCGGGCTCAGTTGTGGCCCTTAAGTGTTTTTCAGATCAGGGTTTCTCGACTTGGGCAAGTCCACCTCCTAAAATTCCCAACAGTAGCTGTGCTAGCTGGGGAACCATGGGAGTTGAAGTCCACACCTATGGAAATGGCCACAGTCAAGAAAACACGGAACTGGACACTCCTACATCTCAAGATCTTCAGACCCGCAACATTCAGGAGACATCCCTGCTTCCTGCCTGGTCACTTACCCACGATCACAGGCTGCTGCATGAGAAGCTGTCCCACCAATCCGCTGATCATCTGGGCTAAGGACGCGTTCCCACCCATGGCCGGGCCCTGGCGTGGAAAGAAGGCAGTTTGTCAAGAGACAGAAAGCACCGCATAGACGCGCCATCACCCCGATCCCCAATCGTTTGGGCCCTCACCCCTTGTCCTGCTGGCTGGGGGGACCCAGCGTGGGTGGGCCGCACGGAAGGGGCAGAAGGCCTGGCAATCACGACACGTGTTGGAGCCGACGGGAAGCTGGGGACCTGCTGGCCTAGAACACACAAAAAAAGAGGGAATATTATGATCGATATTATGGCACCCCAAGGAGGAGGCTTAGCTCTTGGGGACCCCACAGCTCCTCCTTGCTCCCAGTTCCAGGGAGAAACCCCCCTGGCTGCAGGTGGTCCTCCACTTACAGCCACAATTGAGCCTAACATCTCTTAGTTGTTCAGTGAGTTTTGCCCCATTTTACGACTTTTCTTGGCACAGTTGTTAAGTGAATCACTGCAGCTGTTACTAACACTGTTGTTACATGAATCTGGCTTCCCCGTTGACTTTGCTAGTCAGGCCACCCAAGGTGATCACATGACCCTGGGCTGTGGCAACTGTCATAAACAGGATCCAGGGGCCAAGCGTCTGAATTCTGATCGCATGATCCTGGGGATGCTGCAACGGTTATCCAAGTGTGGATAACGGTCCTAAATCACTTTGTTCAGTGCCGCTGTAATTCCGAATGGCCACTAAATGAACTTTTGCTCAGTCGAGGACTACCTATATCAGGGCTTTTCAACCTTTTCACCCATTGTACCACTTTTAGGATATGGCAATATCCCAATACCACCAGTCGCCTAGCAAAGTGTCAAAAACTGGATGACCCAAAAAAAAAAAAAAGGAAAAAAGTGATAAAGTACAGGTAGTCCTCGACTTACAACAGTTCGGTTAGTGACTGTTCGAAGTTACAATGGCACTGAAAAAAGTGCCCCCCAAGCCACAGCCGAGCAAGACACCTGCCTGCCCGCCCGGCCGCGCTCTTCCTCCTGTCTGAGGTTTTCATTGTTGTGAGCATTTCTGTTGAGGATTGGCAGCGGGGGTGGGATGGGGGGGGTGTTTGGTTTTTATTCCCCCCGTCTGCTGGGTGGTTGCAGCAGGTTTTGGTCACTTCACATGACCCTGGGACACTGTGACCATCATAAATATGAATCAGTTGCCATGCATCTGAATGTAAATCACAAGACCCTGGAGATGCTGCAACATTCCAGCTGATTGGCGCTTCTTAAGGGCTCAGCAGAAGTGCCAGGATCAGCGCCGAGCTCCAGCTGGAGCCTGGCGCTGATCCTGGTGCTTCCACTGAGCCCTGACAGCCTCAAAAAAGCGCCAATCAGCTGGAAAGTGGCACTGATCCTGGCGCTTCCGCTGAGCTCTGACAGCCCTGCAGCTCCAGCCATCTCTCACTCAGGCTTGTGCGGTGCTGCCACCGGTTCAGCTCATTCCCTTCCCCCGCTACTTTTCTAGGATGGTCGCGTACCACCTGCCAGGTGCCAATGTAGCACAGGTGGTACCCGTACCACTGGTTGAAAAGCCCTGACCTATATGCATCCCCTTCCCTCCTTTGCTGCTACCTGTAGCCGCCGAGGCTGCCGCTGCCATGGCTTGTTGCGTTATCTGATGGGCCACGGCCTGCATGAACTCTGGCGGGAGGCTGGGAAGAGGCATGTGGGCACCGCTACCTGGAGAGAAGCAACAGAGCCCAGGGTGAAATCAAAAAGGCGGGAAATGGGCAACCCACACCCAAAGCGGGTCGGCTGCCCCGGATGAGAGGGAGCCATTTTCCTTACCCGTCCCTTGGGAGTGTCCGGTTGGACCAGCTGGTCCCATCGATGGCACTCCGCCAGAACCAGCGCTGCCCAACTGGGAGCTGGAGTCTAAAGAGGGAGAAAAAAGCAAGTAGGCCTCAGAAAAGAGAGGCCATCCATTTTGCGGATCCATTTCTGCCTTGCCTTGTTTCTCTGGATCGGCTGGATTTCATTTCATATAACCACAAACTCCCCCCATCCCCCAAGTAACATGGCTTTAACCAACACTGGAAGTTTTTAAGAAGAAACTGGACAGCTATTTGTCCAAAATGGTATAGGGTTTCCTGTCTGAGCAGGGGGTTGGACTAGATGACCTCCAAGGTCCCTTCCAACTTTATCATTATTATTATTAAGATGCTGAGAAGTGAGGGGGCAGAGAATATTATTCTAGCCCACCCCTCTTTCCCCTCAACGCACCCTGTAACAACTTCCACACTTTCAGGTCAACTGAAATTATGAGGGAGCCATGTGGAAAAAATACTCAAATAATACTTGGCATTACATTTTAACTGAATTGTTTGAGGAAGACTCTTGGTCAATCTGATCACTTGAAACACTGAATCAAAAATTATTTACTCTGTTTATATAGAAAACTATTTTGTAATAGCAGAAGAATTAGAGAGATCTATGATAAGAGAAGAAGGGTATTAATTAATGAGGTATCAAATTAAGAGATGGAATATATGTGAAAATATTAGAATGTTATTCTTGGAATATTATGTGTTTAGAAGGGATACCCAAAATTTTATTAATATGTTTGTTTAAGATCAATTGGAATATTCTAATTGAAATTAGTGGAGCTTAAAAGCAGGAGTGATTTATGTAGATGGAATAGTAAGGATGATTCTGTGGATTGATTGAATTTTAAGAAGAAATAGATTAAACTAAATTTGCTATAGTATGTGAGGAAATAGAGGGGGGAAATTATTATTTTTTTAAGGTATTAATTTTAGTTATATATATATATATGACTTGTTTTGTTATGATTGATTACCCTTTCACCATGGTGTTTTCCTGAGCACTTTGATGTTAAAATTAAAAAAAACCAATAAAATGTATATTAAAAAAAAATAATTATGTACTTGGGTCCCACTTTCACTCCTGGGGATTCCAGCGTTTGATCCCGACTCTATCCTCCCAACAACCTGCACCCAAGTGGTCAGAATTGGGTCAGGGACAACCTTTAAGGGACGTGGTAGTTCAAAAAATACAAGGCACTACCGAGAAAGAAAACAACGTAGCAATACTGACGGGGTAAGGCGCTGCATATAAACAGAGACCTAACGCCACTCCCTTCTAGCACTGATGACGTTACCTAGATGGGTATTGAGACATCTGCAAGAATCGCCACCAAGCTCAGAGAGCCCCCCAAAACCCCACAGTTCAGCCTTGAGCTACAAATCTTCGCTTCTGTGAGTATAACCTTCAAAAACAGCCCTGATGTCTTATCAGGTCTCCCCCCCCACCAAACTCACCCTGTATATTCATGTGCATCATAACCACGGGCTCGACCGTCTGATGTGAAATCCGGATGACGCGGGGGTGCCCCGTTTGAGAGGCCTGCGGCAGGATAGGGGTGACCCCCGGGGAGAGGGAAGGAGGCGAACCTTCGGAGGGCTGGGTTGACTCCACGGGGCTGGAGGTGCGAGGCTGGGCTGTGGGAGTGGCCTGGGCGGCAGCGGAGCCTTCCAAGTTGGTGCGGCCCCCGTTCCCCGTCATGGTGACGGTAGTTCCGACGTTAATCTGAGGCAAGGACACGGAGGAAGAAGCAGAGTGGGTTCTCCTTTGCTGAACCCTCTCGCCCAGCCTCGGGAAGCAGAGCTGGGGCCCCGAGCCATTTCCGGCTCGGAAGGAAAGGCACCCCCAACCTGGCTTCTTCCAGGCCAAAGGCTCTCACCTGGATGGGAATGGCCGCTTGCTGCAGGACCATGGGAGCTGTGTAATGGGACATTGGCCGCACCACGTGGAGGTGGCGGGGGGCGCTGCAGGAGAGATTGCAGCGCAGGTCCGAGAGGGCTACAAAGGTGTTCCCCAGAAGGCGCAGCGACTCCCCCACCAGGTTGATGATGCGCTGGTCCTCTTCGCGCCCCTCCGTCTGGCAAAGGAAAAGCAGGGAAATTGAAAGAAACGAAGCAGGGTTTTGTTTCTTGGTTTGTTCCTTACAAAGTCTGAAAAAGCACTCCAAAGTCTTGCTGGGTCAGATCCAAAAACTACTGAGCCCAGAGGCTCACGGGGTTAGGACCCTGGGTTGGAGGCCGGCAAGCCCGCGTTTGAGACCCGAGTGATGCTGAATGTCAGGGTGAGCTCCCGTCATTTGCTCCAGCTCCTTGATGGGGACATGAAAAGAGCCCTCCCCCCATGGGGGTCCCCCGGGCAACAGTGATGTCACCGGCTAATCCAGGGGTAGGCAACCTCGGCTCTTTTATGACTCATGGACTTCAACTCCCAGAATTCCCGAGCCAGCATGGCTCAGCTTGGAAACCTCTCCCTTTCCCCTCAGCGTGGCTGGCTGAGGAATTCTGGGAGTTGAAGTCCACGAGTCATAAAAAAGCCAAGGTTGCCTACCCCTGCCTTAGGTTATTGTTTCTCACCCTTGGCAACTTTAAGATGTATGGACTTCAACTCCCAGAATTCCTCAGCCAGCCATGTTGAAGTGGTCAAGGTTGAGAAATACTACTCTAGGTGATGCTCTGGGGTTGTTGTTTTTTTAATGATCGTTGTTGCTTTCTCCAGACTTTTTTGGATTGTCGAGTCTACGTTTTTACTGGTTAACTAAAGGTCAAGTCATAGACCCCCTGGGCTAATCCTTTCAACCCAGAAGCGCTTTAAACAGCGGCTCCGACACAAACGGGATGGGGGACTGAGCCCAGAACCAAGGCCTCTGAAAGCCTACGTCAGGGGTCTTCCAACTTGGCCCTTTTGCGGCTTGTGGACTTCAACTCCCAGAATTCCTCAGCCAGCGTGCCTGGCTGAGGAATTCTGGGAGTTGAAGTCCACAAGTCCTAAAAGGGCCACGTTGGAAGACCCCTGGCCTACGCCTTCAACTGAGGGACTGAAGGCCGTAGGATAGAAAGAATACTTTTGACCATACACCAAACGCTTCACCTTGAGCAAACGGTCAGATACCCGGCAAATGCAGAAATAAGTGAAAGGGTGAAAAGGTCGCTTCCCAAGTTAGAAAAGTCGGTTTTCGATTTTTTTAGGAACCAGACAGCGCTTACGTTGTTGTTATAGTCGGCAGTGCCGGCAGTTCCCAGGACCTCCTCGTATCTCTGCAGGAAAGGCTGGAGTCGGTTTTCCAACCCACGAAGCTCGCCCAGAACCTCCACATACTCCCCAGGTGATGGGTGGCTGTGGGGACAGAGAAGGACCCTCGTCGTCTTGCTCAGATGGACTGCCCCGTCTCCTTTGGGAAACAGCCAGTATTCCTCCAGGTCCTCCCGGCTGCGCCTCTACACTTTGGCACATCCCACCTCTGTGGTTCCCACCCACCAATTCCCACCCGCCCTGGTCTGTTAGCGCCTGGCTGGTTTCCCTTTTGAAGGAAGTGGGAGGGAGGCTCCACGCAGCCTGCCCAAGAGAGCTCTTGCTATCTCTTTGGTGGGCAGCCTCCTTACTTGGGGGTGGCTGCTTCAGCCCCGGGGGGCGGCTCGCTCCCAGCGGGTGGCGTTTCCTCTGCTGGCGTGGGCTCCTGGGGAGGCTCAGATTCGGTGCCTGTCATCGGCTCCCTTTCGGTGGGGCTGGCGGACGGCGTATCCTCGGCCCCCGCAGCCGCATGCTCACTGGTATTGCCCTGAAGGAAAGGGATACGTAACTCCTAGGCCCGGGAGGAGTTTCCGGGCAGTGTTTCTACGTTCCCGCTTCGTGTTCCCCGGGGTTGGAAATCCGCTCACCTCTAGTCGGTTCAGGATACCTTGAATGTCCCGTAACATATGCTGGGCCATAACAAGACGGACACGGGGTTCGCTCTGCAAGGAGGAAAGAAAACGCGTCCTTAGCAGAAGGCCGGAGAAGACTTCTTTTCCCCGTATGAGAATTCCTCCAGTCCTACAGACCCCTACCCTCCTTGGGTAAAACTGACTCTTCCCGCTTCTTGATTTCCTGAAGGCCAAGTTCAGGCCTTCCGGTCCTCCCCCGAGTGGAATCCACTCACCCCACACCCACTTCCCCAACCTGCGGTCATCCCACCTCCTTTTCAGTCTCGACCTCACGCTTTTCAACTCATTTGGCCCCTCAAGCCAAAGTTTGTGTCCTGTAGCCGTGATGGCTCCTGCTAAGACCTCGGGCAGGAAGAACCCAACGTGCTCCTAACACAAAACCTCCATGTCTAACGCAAGAGGCAGTCAGGGGAGCTCAGATAATTTAAGTCAGGGCTTTTCAACCAGTGGTATGGGTACCACCTGTGGTACATTGGCACCTGGCAGGTGGTACGCGACCATCCTAGAAAAGTGGTAGCGGGGGAGGGGAATGAGCTGAACCGATGGCAGCACCGCACAAGCCTGAGCGAGAGATGACTGGAGCTGCAGGGCTGTCAGGGCTCAGTGGAAGCGCCAGGATCAGCGCCAGGCTCCAGCTGGAGCTCGGCGCTGATCCTGGCACTTCTGCTGAGCCCTGAAGAAGCACCAATCAGCTAGAATGTTGCAGCATCTTCAGGGTCTTGCGATTTACATTCAGATGCTTGGCAACTGATTCATATTTATGACGGTCACAGTGTCCCAGGGTCATGTGAAGTGACCAAAACCTGCTGCAACCACCCAGCAGACGGGGGCAATAAAAACCAAACACCCCCCACCCCCACTGCCAATCCTCAACAGAAATGCTCACAACAATGAAAACCTCGGACCGGAGGAAGAGCGCTGCCGGGTGGGCAGGCAGGTGTCTTGCTAGGCTGTGGCTTGGGGGGCACTTTTTTCAGTGCTATTGTAACTTCGAGCAGTCACTAAGCGAACTGTTGTAAGTCAAGGACTACCTGTACTTTTATCACTTTTTTCCTTTTTTTTTTTTTGGTCATCAAGTTTTCGACCCCTTGCTAGGCGACTGGTGGTACTCGGATGTTGCCCTATCCTAAAAGTGGTACAATGGGTGAAAAGGTTGAAAAGCCCTGATTTAAGCAAGGAGACCTGAAGCTTTCTATATCACAGCTTCCCCCATCGAAGGTCCAGTGAAGTTCCTCCTGGAAGCTCTTTAGGATGCAAAGAAAAAGACTTCCTTTATGTCCCCGAAGAACTGCAAATGTTTTCCGCATCGACAGTCTTGGTGACTTTGGGTTCCTTCCTCTTATTTCTCACCCTGAGATTCAGTCATAGGACCCTTCCAGCCTTTGGCTGATATCTGACTGGCTCTGTAGTACATACACTCTATGACAGGGCTTTTCAACCTTTTTCACCCATTGTACCTCTTTTAGGATATGGCACTATCCGAGTACCACCAGTCGCCTAGCAAGGGGTCAAAAACTTGATGAAAAAATGATAAAGTACAGGTAGTCCTCGACTTACAACAGTTCGAAGTTACAATGGCACTGAAAAAAGTGCCCCCCAAGCCACAGCCGAGCAAGACACCTGCCTGCCTGCCCGGCGGCGCTCTTCCTCCTGTCCGAGGTTTCCATTGTTGTGAGCATTTCTGTTGAGGACTGGCAGTGGGGGTGGGATGGGGGTGTTTGGTTTTTATCCCCCCCCCCCGTCTGCTGGGTGGTTGCAGCAGGTTTGGGTCACTTCACATGACCCTGGGACACTGTGACCGTCATAAATATGAATCAGTTGCCAAGCATCTGAATGTAAATCACAAGACCCTGGAGAGGCTGCAACATTCCAGCTGATCAGTGCTTCTTCTGGGCTCAGCGGAAGCGCCAGGATCAGCGCTGAGCTCCAGCTGGAGCCTGGCGCCGATCCTGGCGCTTCCGCTGAGCCCTGACAGCCCTGCAGCTCCGGCCATCTCTCGCTCAGGCTTGTGGGGTGCTGCCACCGGTTCAGCTCATTCCCCTCCTCCGCTACCACTTTTCTAGGATGGTCGCGTACCACCTGCCAGGTGCCAATGTACCACAGGTGGTACCCGTACCACTGGTTGAAAAGCCTTGCTCTATGAAACATCTCCCCCAATATGAACACTTCAGATGAGCTGGACAAACCGCCCACTATCATGTCCATTCAGCATCGGGTCTGGATGGAGTTTCCAGAAGCTGCATTGGAAGGGCACCAGCCTGGAGAAGGCTGGTATAAATAGTCCTCAACTCCTTTCTTTTAAAAAATAAAAAGACACTTAAGTTTCTTTGGCATTCTTTCTAAGGAACGTAGAAGACATCCAGTACAAGGCCCTGAATCTGGCACCCGTCAAGTACAATGCTTCAGAATGGTGGCTAAAGAAATGAAACTAGGATTGGAAAGAACTATCTTCTTCATAAAATAGCAGCCCACCGATCAAAAATTGCCTCTGGATAGAATGTTGGATTGGTTACACATTCAGGTGCTTTGGAAAAGAGGTTGACCCCCCCTTCTTTGTGGCAAACCCTGAGATATTGGAACACGGCTATCACCCTAGTCCTTCTTTTCATTAAATCGGATATACCCAATTCCAGCAACCGTTCTTCGTTCTTCAGTCCCCTTTGTTGCTCTTCTCTGTACTTTCTAGAATCTCAACATCTTTTTTATATGGTGGCGACCAAAACATTTCAATAAATAAACTTTGTTTAAAAAAAGGGGGGGTGGAGCTTTTCTAGAAGTCAAATAACAATCTAAGCAACCTCTCAATCAACCGGATCTCCTTACATCATGCTACAGTCAAGAGTTTTGGTTATGCCCACATATTAAATAAATCCTTCAATTTTAACATTAAATTCTAGCCTTCCCAACCCACTTGTACCTGAATAGGAGCCTGGTCCATATTTATATGAACATCCACAGACGATCCATCGTTCTTTGGAAAGCAGGGAGTGAGAAATAGACAGAGAAAAAATTAAAAGGACCAAAAAAAAAAAAAAAGAGGTGGATGTGCAGGAGAAAAGAACAAAACAGCACAGAAAAGAAGGTTAAAAAAAAAAAACCCAGTAGATCAAATTGTCACATCATCCACGGCTGCTCCCCACCCAGTGTGGTAGATTCTTGAAATTACACATCACTTGAAAGATACTTTCTTGAAATAACACCAAATATCAAAGTTTATTTCTCACGGCTTTCTCTCTTGCACAGAACACGATTACGCATCCTTCAAACGTAAGCGTGCACTCTTTGGAACTTGTTTATGCTGTGAATTCATATGGCCGTATATCACAATTTCAATAACCTCCCAAATCACACAGGTGCAGGAATAAAAAGAAGCAATAATAAAAAAAAAGAATAAATAATGACTCCCAGGGAGGCATTCTAGAATTCTTCAGCCAATTTTTGTTTTGGGTTTTTTTAATATATATTTTATTCCATGCTCACCATAAACTAATAATTCGAAAAGATGGTGAAGAATTCTTAGGCTGAAATCCAGACATCCTTATTAGAGGTGTCTACGGAGGTTCTCAGTCATGCAGATAAATGGTTTTTCCAAAGGTGTTTTTTCAGGAGGCAACTGGATTTTATAATAATAATAATAATAATGATAAAGTTGGAAGGGACCTTGGAGGTCTAGTCCAACCCCCTGCTCAGGCAGGAAACCCTATACCATTTTGGACAAATGGCCGTCCAGTTTCTTCTTAAAAACTTCCAGTGTTGGAGCATTCACCGCTTCTGGAGGCAGGTTGTTCCACTGGTTAATTGTTCTAACTGTCAGGAAGTTTCTCCTTAGTTCTAGGTTGCTTCTCTCTTTGGTTAGTTTCCACCCGTTGCTCCTTGTCCTGCCTTCAGGCGCTTTGGAGAATAGCTTGACTCCCTCTTCTTTGTGGCAGCCCCTGAGATACTGGAACACTGCTATCATGTCCCCCCTCGTCCTTCTCTTCGTTAAACTAGACATACCCAATTCCAGCAACCGTTCCTGATATGCTTTAGCCTCCAGTCCCCTAATCATCTTTGTGGCTCTTCTCTGTACTCTTTCTAGAGTCTCAACATCTTTTTTACATCGTGGTGACCAAAACTGGATGCAGTATTCCAAGTGTGGCCTTACCAAGGCATTGTAAAGTGGTATTAATACTTCGCATGATCTTGATTCTATCCCTCTGTTAATGCAGCCTAGCACTGTGTTGGCTTTTTTGGCAGCTGCAGCACACGGCTGGCTCAGTTTTTCCTTTTAGACCTTTAGCTTCTCATCCAAGAAACCTCTTCAGCTCTGACTGGATGGCGGGGAAATGGAAGGATTTATATTCCTTGCAGACAGCTGGCCATTTGTGTTCTTTTAGATCAGGGGTGTCAAAC